CAGGAGCGCCCCAGGCTCCCCCCGCCCCGCAGCACACCCGGCCCCATGGCGAGCACCGCCCGACGTGCGGCAACTGTGGATGGAGCCCGCCTGCAGCACCGGGACCCCCCCCCTCCCCACCCCGAGGTGCCGCCGTCACCCCCCCCACCCCGACCCCCATGCACTTACTGCACCGGAGCCGTCGTGCCGGGGGTCCCCCACCCCGGGGCGGCCGCGCTGTTGTGTGTGGGGCAGCGGTGGGGCGGGCGCTGCGGGGCGTGGGGGCCGTGGGGCTGCGGCACCTTGATAAGGGCAGCCCGAGCCCCATGGGGAGTTCCAGGAACGGCGCTGGCTGCGGTTCAATGCCCCCGTTCCCAGCGCTGCTGCCGGTGTCTCCCATGCTGGGAGGGCTGCGCTTGGCCCCCGAGCACCGGTGTTGCCATGGGGGCCCCAAGGTGCTGGCGCATCCATGCACCGATGCAGCAGCACCGGCTGCAGCACTGAGGGGGTCTGGGTGAAGGAGGACGCAGCAGCGCCTGCGCTCCCCTGTTTACACCATGGGGCCTCTCCTGATAAGCCCTTGCTCCCCAGCAACCCCTTTGCAGGAGGGACAAACCCCAGTGCCTGGCCTGGGAACATCAGGCCTAGGGCAGGACTGTGGTGTGGTGGCCGTGATGTCCTTAATGCCTGTGGCCATGGCTGCTGGACCCTGGTATTGGGGTACCAGCACCCAAATCCACCCTCCTTCCTTCCAGGCCCAGGGTGTCATGGCTGATGCTGTGCCAGGATGCTCAGCCCTTCACTGCACCTATGTCAGGGGCAGGAGATCATAGAATCACAGCATGGTTTGGGTTGGAAAGGACCTTAAGGTCACCCAGTTCCAACCCCCCGATGATGAGGAGGATCTCATCCCTATCCTCATCCTCTCAGCCCCACCACAACACCTCTGCTCCCCACCAGAGCCTTCTCCCACTGGAAAGCCCCCATGATCCTGCTGCTCCCTGCAGTGGCTGGAGCACTGCGATGGTGTCAGCCTGCAGCAGGTCCCACTTACCCCTGCCTGGTGCTGGGTGCCCTTGGCCACGCTCTGGGTGCTCTGGGCTGTGTCCCGGGGCCGGTGGCTCCGGTGTGGATGCCAGGCAGCTCTGTGCTTCCGGGCAGGACACAGGAGCCTGTTTTACCACGGGGCTGAGACAAAGTCCATGGGTGATGTGGGGAGCAGGAGCTCACCACGCCCCTGCAGGGTGTGTGCTGGAGCTCCGGTGTTGGCACCGGGCACGGCCGGGCCCCACTGCCCCAGAGCCAGCCCTGGCATCCCGGCTCCAGGCACAACCAGGGTCTGAAGTGGGCAGTGATGATGGGACCGGAGGGTCCTGACCCCAGCACTGCCCCTTGGGACAAGCAGGAAGCTGGGCTGCCACATCCCCTTCACCTGGGCACCCACCAGCATCGCACCTGCATCCTCCCAGCATCCCGCTTCCTACCCACCTCTTCTTCCCTGCTCCTCTGGTGTGGCCGGGTGTCCATCACCGCAGCACCGGGGCTGGCAGCGTGATGGTGCTGGGAGTGATCCCAGCTGTGCTGCCCTTACCTGCACCCCAAGGACCCTCTATGGTGGGGTATCTCTGAGCATCTCCCTTGCTTGGTGTTACCGGGTGCCAGGGTCAGACCCCTCTGGGGCCTGGGGACATGCAGGGATGTCAAGCTCCTGCCTGGCCCCATCACCGGGGTTTATTCCACTGGGAGAGACATGTCCTGACTGGACCCCAGCAGCTCCAGCTCTGCCCCAGGCTGGTTGGCTCCAGTGCTGCTGTGGGGGAATGAACGTGGGGAGCAGTGGGGATCCCCGTGTCCTGCCCTCCTGCTGGGCTGGCACTGGCTGTGGTGAGGCTCGTGGTTGATGGAGCTGAGGCCGGAGCACTGGTGTCTCCACACAGGGCTCTTGCACCCATGAAACAGCCACAGGGGAGGGGATGATGGAAGCCTCTGGGCAGGGATGAGAGGGGCCACAGCCCAGGTAGTGAGAGGCTGGTGGGACCTATCCCAAACATCCCAATCCCCATCATCCCCATCCCCAATATCCACATCTTCATCATACATCCCCAGCTTCCTCATCTTCATCATCGCCATCCCCAGCATCCTCATCCCCTTTGGCAAGTGTTCCCATACCCAGCATCCCAATCCCCAGCATCCCCATCCCTGCATCCTCCATCCCCAGCATCCCAATCCCCATCATCCCCATCCCAGCATCCCCCATCCCCAGCATCCCAACCCCCAGCATCCCAATCCCCAGCATCCCCATCCCCAGCATCCCAATCCCCAGCATCCCCATCCCTGCATCCCCCATCCCCAGCATCCCAATCCCCATCATCCCCATCCCCAGCATCCCAATCCCCATCATCCCTGTCCCAACATCCCAATCCCCAGCATCCCAATCCCCATCATCCCAATCCCCATCATTCCCGTCCCCAGCATCCCCCATCCCCAGCATCCCAATCCCCATCATCCCCATCCCAGCATCCCCCATCCCCAGCATCCCAATCCCCAGCATCCCAATCCCAGCATCCCCCATCCCCACCATCCCAATCTCCAGCATCCCAATCCCCATCATCCCTGTCCCAGCATCCCCCATCCCCAGCATCCCAATCCCCATCATCCCAATCCCCATCATCCCCATCCCGAGCATCCCAATCCCCATCATCCCCATCCCTGCATCCCCATCCCCAGCATCCCAATCCCCATCATCCCTGTCCCAACATCCCAATCCCCATCATCCCCACCCCTGCATCCCCCATCCCCAGCATCCCAATCCCCATCATCCCCATCCCAACATCCCAATCCCCATCATCCCCATCCCAGCATCCCCCATCCCCAGCATCCCAATCCCCATCATCCCCGTCCCAGCATCCCCCATCCCCAGCATCCCAATCCCCAGCATCCCCATCCCCTGCATCCCCCATCCCCAGCATCCCAACCCCCAGCATCCCAACCCCCAGCATCCCAACCCCCAGCATCCCAATCCCCAGCATCCCAATCCCCGATCCCCAGCATCCCAATCCCCATCTTCCCCATCCCTGCATCCCCATCCCCAGCATCCCAATCCCCAGCATCCCAATCCCCAGCATCCCAATCCCCATCATCCCCGTCCCCAGCATCCCCCATCCCCATCATCCCCATCCCAAGGTCCCCATCCAGCCCGTTCCCACCATCGGGTGCTCTTCCCGCTCCCAGGCAGAGGCTCCATGCTGGTTGTTCACACAGTTTATTTGCTCGGTTCGGGTGTTTTACAAACAACGGGAAGGGGCCGGGGGGGGTTTGGGGGGGGTCAGAACTTGAAACGGCTTCGGCACAAGTGAAAAGCACGGGGATGCGGGAAGTGCACTTCAGCGGAGCCGGGCGGGGGGGGCTGCGGGATGGGGCTGGGACACACGGACAGGGTCCTCAGCCCCGCCCCCCCTCCCTGCCCCCCCCCCCGGCCCCATGGGGCCCGATCCCGCTCCCTGCTCCTCGGGGGCAGAGGGTGGGAAACGGGCTGGGGGGGGGGCAATGCGGGACCCGGGATGGGGTGAGGGGGTGCGGGAGGTGATGCTTGGCCTGTGTGTCCCCCCCCCCCCCCGGAGGTGCCAACCGCGGACCCCCCCATCCCATCCCATCCCATCCCTGCCTTTCCGAGGGGGCTTGGGATCGTCTCCCCATGGGACACAGCCCCAGCGCCTCCCCTATCCCTGTAGTGATTCCATGGAGGGGGGAACTGCAGCCTGGGTTGTAACTGGGGGCAGCAATTGGGATGTTATGGGGGGGTGGGGGTCACTGCTCACACAAGGAGGGTGGGAAGGAGGAAAGGCTTTGGGGGTCTGAGTCCCATTTCTGGCAGTTCTACCACCTGCATCCCGATGGGCTGATCCCAATGCTCTGCACCGGGGGGGTCCCCCAGGGCACGGGGATGGGGACCAGGTTGGGACAGGGCTGGTGGGAGATGGGACCCCCCCCCTCTTGGAGACAGCCCCCACCCCAGGGCAGGGCAGAGGTGCCCTGAGATGGGCTCAGCACCCATGGGTGCTGCCGGGGGCCCCCCTCCTGCCCCAGCGGGTCTCAGTGGGGAGGAAACGCTGGTGCTGGTGGTGAAATCCCCGCTGAAGAGCTGGGGCATGGGGAGGGCTGCGTGGTCCCAGCACGGACACAGCCTCCCAGGGACACCCGCCTGGACCCCCCAGCAGCTCCCAGTCCCGGTGCCTGGGGTGAACTGGGCTGTCCCGCTCATCCGGGGCCCCAGAACGTGGCTTTAAAAGCTGCCGCTGTGGGGGGATATGGGGCTGGGTCCCCCCTCCTGTGGCTTGAGACGGCACCGGAGCTGCTGCCCCATCGCTGGCCCCATGGGTGCTGCCATCACCACCCAGGTCACCCTGGGAGGACACGGGCAGCGGCCACCACTGCTCAGCCCCAGCAAGGATGGAGGATGGAGGAATGGCCCCGGCTTTGGGACCTGGATGGTGACAGCGTCCCTGTGAAGGAGCTCCTGCAATGGGGTATCCAGGGGGACAGAGCAGCATCTCCCGTGGGAGCCACACATGGCCCATGGCCCCCTGTGAGCTCCCAGCTCTGTGGAGGGGCTGCTGCCCTTAGCACCCTTCCCTTGCCTGGCCACGCTCAGTCCCAGAGGGGCTCATGGCTTGGGGAGCCCAGGACTGAGGATGCAGGATGGAGCAGGGACATCCATAGGCAGCCAGGGCAAGGGGGGGGGAGACGATAGCCCAGGGCCTTTCCCTGCAGGAGAAGTGGATGATGGAGGTGCAGAGAATGGGGCTGACTCCGTGCTGGCCGTGTGCTGGGTCCCGCTGCCCACCGGTACCCGGGAGCCACCTACGGATGCAGCAGCAGCATCCTCCAAGCCCCCAATGGCTCCGGATGGGAAGCTGCCGGTGAGAGGAGGGACGGGGGGGGGGGAAAGGCTCCGGCGTCGTCGGCAGGAGGATGAGGGGGGTCTCTAATAAATACCACAGGCAGCGCTGGGCAGAGGGGGCCGCGGCTGCAGCTCTGCCGTGTCGGTGCTGCAGGAGGAGGGTCCGTGTCCGGTGGGAAGGAGCCCGGCACGGGCCTGGCGAGCGGGGGGGGGCCGGGGCGGCGGGGTCTCGGCGAAGGGGGGGCTCACATCACCGTGCAGCACTTGCAGCGCTGCTTCTTCACGTCCGTGTCCTGCTCGGCCTCCTTGGCATCCGTGGCGTTGGCACCCGGGTTCTGCCCGCCCGGGCTCTCCTCCCGCAGCGGCTGCGCTGCCGCGGGCTCCAGCGCGGTGCCGTTGGGGGGTGCGTGGTCCTTGAGCGCCGGCTCCGGCTTGCTCTCGGCATCCTCGATCACCACCAGCTCGGCCTTGATGGTGCCCTCCAACCCCAGCACCTTCTTGGTCTCGTCCTCGTCCTCCACGTTCTGGTAGCCCATGAAGATCATGGTAACGGGCTGCTCGCGGCTCGGCTCCGTGCCCTCGGCCGCGGGGCTCTCCCGTGCCTTGGTTTGCAGCCCCGTGATCTCCCGTCTCGGCGTCGCCTTCTGGCTGCCCGCTGCGCTCCCGGGCTCCTCGCCCGCTTTGGCCCCGGTGCCTTCGCTCAGCGTGGCCTCGTCCGCCTTGTGCAGGAGCTCCTCGACCTCGGAGGAGCTCAGGGGGTGCGCCCCGTTCTGCAGGGCCCCGTCCTCGGCGCTCACCGCATGCACCACTGCGGGGACAAGAGATGGAGCGTGAGGGCAGCGCGGCTGGACCCGGACAAGCTCCTGCTCATGGAACCCTTCCCCTCCCTCGCACCGAAGCCCGGACCCCCCCCGCACCGCCTGGCCCTTGCCTGGCAGCAGATGGGGAAGCCAAAGGGAAAGCACAACGCGAGGAGCAGCTCCCAGCCTTTGGCTCCTCGGGAGCTGCCGGGTCGCGGGTTGGGATGCTCTGCGGCAGATCCCCGCTGCCACCACCTAACACCCCAGTGAGGCGCTGCCCCACCACGTCCTGCCGCATCCCACCGCATCCCGCTGTGTCCCGGCGGGGCCGCAGCGCTCCGCACGGCTGCCAGGGGCAGCAGACGGCAGCATCCCTGCCTGCGGCTCATCGCGTTTTCCACTTGACTTGGGGCATCATGCGATGATCAGTGCAAGAGTGCGTGGATGGAGCGATGGATGAGACAGGACCAGTGTGTGCTGCCCAGTGCCGCATCCTTGGAGCTGGGGGTCCTGAGCCAGGTGATGGATGGTGTGGTCCGGCACAGCCATGGCCACAGTGAGGGTGTTGAATGGCACCGGCTGTCGGTGCCGCTTGGCTCCCTTGGAGAGCTGGTCACCACTTTGCCACCAGTGTCCCCAGTACCATGCGCAGCTCCGTGGCTGGTCCTTGTCACCGACACAGCCATCCCTCGTGTGTCACCGGGCCCTTCGGAGCAGGTTCCCAGAGGTCCCCAAAGGCAGGGGCTGGTCCCTATTGCGCATCCTCTGTGCCTGCAGCCAGCCAGGGCACACCACAGTGCCAGTGCCACGTTCCCCTGGGTCTTGGACACAGCAGTTCCTCTTCTCCGCGCTGCAGCGGGGCAGGGTCACGATGTGCAAGGCAGGGCTGACACCACCATGGATGGATCCCGTACCAGGGGTCCGAGGGCACAGGATTGGAGCCATTGTGGGGTTGCTCCCATCAGTGTTCCCTGCAGAGCTGATGAGGGCGGCCAGGAGCAGCCCCAGCACTTCCCGGCCCTGGTGCCCGGTGGGATGCTCCGGCCGCCGCTCCCTTGTGCCCTGCTGCCTGTGGGCACTGCGGGCCGGGCCGTACCTTTCAGCTCATCCTCGTACACTTTGACCCCCTGCAGACAGTGGTTCTGGGGGAGCAGGGTGGTGCTGGACAGGACCTTGGTCTCCCCAGTCACTCTGTCCTTCTCCACAGTGATCTCCACCGAGTACATGGCTGGGACACAAAGCACACAGCGCGCGTTACAGCGGCCCTGGCCCTCCCCAGCCCCTGCAGCGAGCAGGCGCGGTGCGGTGCGGTGCGGTGCGGTGCGGTGCTGTGCGGTGCTCAGCGGCGTTAGCGAGGCAGCGGGCGGCAGCAGGAGTGGTGAATGGCAGAGGCGGGTGAGACATCCCGGGCACAGCGTTCCTATCAGGACCTGCGGGGCCGTTGCCATCCCAGCATCCCCTTACCTCCGCTTCTGCATCCCCCTGCATCCTGTGTCCGTCTGTCCGGCCACTGAGGACCAAGCATCCCCCTGTGAGGGTGCTGGCGCTGGGGCAGCCCCTTGGTCCCGATGGGATGGGAGGTCCCCAGCACCAATCCTTCAGCTCCTGGCACTGGGATCACCTCGTCCCAGTGGTGCTGTGCTCCAATGACCCTAAGATGGGCTCTGCCACAGCCTGGTCTGAGCCATCCCCCCAAAACCAGAGCAACCCCATCCAGCAGTGGAGCCGGACGCAGGGCCCCCAGCTTGACTGCTCCCCCCAGCAGCAAGCCATGGGGCTGTGGGGCCGTGGGGCTGTGGGGCCATGGGCACAGGGTCAGCCACGCTGGTAGCCACCGCGCTGCTCCCTGACCCGTATGCCAAGAAGCCACAAAGAGAGTGGGAGGTGAAGGATGAAACTGGAGCAGAGACATGGAATGGGGGGTGAAGGGGGGCCCTGAACCACGAACCAGCCGCGGCGTGGAAGCCAAACCAAACCCTCTGATTGCAAATAACTGATGCTCTGTGCCTTGGGCTCAGAAAGCCATGGAGCGGTGCCGGGGCTGCGGAGCAGCAGTGAGCCGAGGGGCGGCGCGGGACGGGAGCGGGGAAGCGGCCGGGATGGAGCATTCCTCCCGGGAAGCGGGCACCTACCGGCCTTCATCATGTCAGTGCCTTCCACCGCCTTCATGGGGCTGCTGGAGACCTTCTTCTCGGCTGGAGATGGAGAGGGTAGACACCCGTGTGCCCATGGATGGGAGGGGATGGGGAATGGGATGGGGCTGCCCCGGTTCCCCCCACCACCACCACCACCACCCAGGGCAGCACCAGTGGGGAGCAGGGACTGGGGATCACCTACCCTTGACAGCACCCAGGGGACTCTGCAAAACAGAAGGGAGAGGTCAGGAGCTGCCGTGCAGCGATGCCGCACACCCACCTGCACCCGGGACCTGGCACAGCACCGGCACTGATGGTGGTACCCAGAGAAGCTGTGGCTGCCCCATCCCTGGCAGTGCTCAAGGCCAGGTTGGACACAGGGGCTTGGAGCAAGCTGCTCCAGTGGAAGGGGTCCCCATGGCAGGGGTTGGAGCTGGAGGAGCTTTAAGGACCCTTCAACCCAACCCAGGCTGGGGTTCTGTGACCCCTCTCACGCTGCCGGTGGAGCGTGGCCGTGCCCACCTTCTGTGTGTTGGGGACGGGCTCGGCTTTCTCCTCCTTGGCTGGTGCCGCTGCCACCTCTGCCAGGTTCTCCTTGGTGGAAGCCACTGAGGTGCTGTTCTCCAGCGTCTCCAGCTCCTTCTCCAGCCTGTGGGGAGAGCTGGGGCTGAGAGGCCGCGGTGCAGGCAGCAGAGCCACCAACACGGGCCAGTGCCATGGCACAAAGGAGAGGGGAGGCACAAATCGGCCCCTGGGCTCATGGGCACAGAGCGAGCGACCTCCAGCACAGCCATCACTATCCCTTGGCTGATGGGATGGGAACCCTAACCCTAACCCTAACCCTAACCCTAACCCTAACCCTAACCCCTAACCCTAACCCTAACCCTAACCCCTTTCACAGGCATCAGAAAGGGACAAGGACTGCTGTCCCCATGCAGGGACATCCAGCCATGGATGCTCGCTGGCACGGAGCGATGCTGCTCCATCCATCCTGTTTGTGCTTCCCATGAAGGCGACCGCCCCTTCCCATCCATGAGCCCCACAGGGACATGGCAGAGCCCAAGGGATCCGTGTCTGTGTCAATGGGACCCGTCAGACCCCCCCTTAGCGCCGCAAGGCTCCGGCGGAGGAATGCATCACACCATTAGAGCCACACAAAGGCCCCTTCGTGCCTGACCCCTCTCTGCACCGATGCGCGGTAATTGACGGCACAGCCGTGACGGATGGCATTCCTGCCGCCGGGACACCCGCCCGGCCCCCCCCGGCACCACAGGCACGATGGGGCCAGGCAGGGGCTGAGGCTTCTCTCCACCAACCTCCCACCCGGCCCCATCCCCAAGGGCTGAGCCACTGCGATGGGGAACCAGCCCCCATTGCCCTGCCCTGCTGCAGGGATGGAGCAGCTCCCCCCTGGGGTGTCTGTGCTCGGGGGGGGGGGGTTAGGGTTAGGATGGGTTCTGGGACTGGATGCAGCCCCTGGACAAAAGGCACCACGGGGGGGTTCATGGCTCAGCACCAGCAGTGCCATGAGGAGGCATCTCCATTCCCTGCAGCTCCGAGTGGGATCAGAGCATCACATCCTGTGCTTGTGCATTGGGACCGAGCTGCACCTCAGCATCGCTCCTGCCAGGGGGTCTCTGGAGGGTACCACAACCCCAGCACCGTCCCCGTTACCTCTGGATGGTTTCCTCCAGCTCCTTGGTCTTCACCTCATCCTCCTGCATCTGCTTCTTCATGGCCTCCTCCTCCTCGGAGGCTGAGGCCGGGGCCCCCTCCAGCAGCCATCTCTCCCGCAGAGCCTTGGACTGGGGAGCAGAAGGGGGTCAGGGTCCTGCAGGCACCGGTCCCCAGTGCGGATGCAGCCCAGAGCATCCTCACCTTGAGGTGCTGCAGCTGCCTCCGGTCATCCTCAAGCTGCCGCCGCTTGTTCTCGATCTCTGTCTGACGCTTCCGCTTCTCCTGCAGGGATGAGGGCGGCAGAGCCGGGGTCGGAGCAGGGAAATAGGGGGTGCATCCCCCCCCCCCGGCCAGGTGACACAATAGGGGGTGCATCCCTCAGCACAGGGACACAAGGGTGCATCCCAGTGGGAGCTGCCCCATCGCTGCCTTCACCGGGGGAAACTGAGGCACGGAGGGCTCTGCTCCCCATCCCCAGGTGCCTTCCCCTCGCCCTGGCCCCATGGAGCGAGCTGCCAGCACATGGGACCCAGGGCCCCCCAATGGGGCCCATGAAGATCACTTGAGCACGGCCAGCCCCAGCGTCACCCGCGTCCCTTCTCCTCTGGCCAGGAACAATTTGCCCTTTGTGCAGCGGAGATGGGCCCGTAGCGGATGGGATGGGGAAGCTGCCAGCCCATGGGGGGGTTAGAACGAACCCAGAGCCCTGCTCTGTGCCAACGGGGCTGCTAGGAATGGGAGCACCAATGCCCATGGCAGGGTCTGCAGCATCCCCGGCCCCATGCTGGGGAAGGGTGGGGGGGAATCCACACTTGTTCCCCTCCTGGGGCTCGTCAGGATGCTGCTGCATTAACTAAACCTCCTGCTCGCTCTGTCCCTGTTGCACCGCCGCAGCCAAGCCCTGGGGGATCCTGCGTTCGGCTGCGGTGTGTCCCTGGGACCGGCACCCTCATCCCTGCTGGTGTCCTCCCTGTGTGGCACTGGGATGCAGGGGCACTGGGATGTGGGGATACTGGGATGCGGGAACACTGGGATGCAGGGGCACTGGGATGTGGGACACTGGGATGCAGGGACACTGGGATACGGGGACACCAGGATGCAGGGTCACTGGGATGCGGGGACACTGGGATGCGGGGACACTGGGATGTGGGACACTGGGATACAGGGACACTGGGATGCAGGGGCACTGGGATGCAGGGACACTGGGATGCGGGACACTGGGATACGGGGACACTGGGATACGGGGACACTGGGATACGGGGACACCGGGATACGGGGACACTGGGATACGGGGACACCGGGATACGGGGACACCGGGATACGGGGACACTGGGATACGGGGACACTGGGATGCAGGGACACTGGGATGTGGGGACACTGGGATGCAGGGGCACTGGGATGCGGGACACTGGGATGCGGGACACTGGGATACGGGGACACTGGGATATGGGGACACTGGGATGCAGGGACACTGAGATGTGGGAACACTGGGATGCAGGGGCACTGGGACTCACCGCAATGGCCTGCAGCCGCTCCTGCTGAAGGGTGCTGGCTTCCACAGCCCTGCAAGAGAGCACAGAGCGCAGTGAGGAGCGTGGCCACCACGGCGCAGTGAATGGGGACCTTGTTCCCCATCGTTCCAGCACCCACAGGACACAGCCATGGGCCAGGGGCTTCCTTTCCACCCGCTGCTTTCTCCCCTTCCCCTCACAGAGCCCAGTCCCCCTTGCCCATGAGCTCCTCTGCCTGGATCCCTGGGGACAGGCACCTTGCCCAGACCTGGCACAGCCGGACCCATTCCTGCCATGGCGCAGATGGAAACGGTGACCACGGCCAGGCTGGAGCGGGGCTCCCGGTCCTCTCCATCCCTGCCCTTCAACCTGGCTCACACTTTCCATTCCAAGCCCATTCCTTGGCTGCTGACACCTTTCCTGGACACTGACCTTTCCATCCTGCACGCACAGGCACACGCATGCGCACGTGCGCAGACACACATGAACACACATGGATGTGCATCATGCACCAGGGATGCCACCAATGGCAGCAGCCACATGGGTCCCAACACATCTCTTCCAAGCCACAAGTGCCCTGGACCAGCCCACCCAGCATCGCAGCCCCATGGGCCCGGTGATGCCGCCAGCATCAGGTGCAGGTCCAGCAGTTGCCCGGGGCCCTGTGGTGATGGGGGATGCTCCAGCACCACAGGAGGCGGTTGGATGCTCAGCAGACAGCGCTAACGAAGTGCTTGGCTGTGACAGTAATTGGGGTGGGAGGCCCAGAGGTGTCATCAGGCGGTGGAGCGGTGCCACTGCCTCAGCTCCAGGGCCCGGTGCTTCACTCACATCCGTGTCACAGCTCCCAAGGGAAGAGTCCTCACAGGATGCGATGGCCCCAGCACAGCGGGAAAAGCCATTAGGAAGGAGCTGATGGGGAAGCGCCGTCCCACTGCATCTGCACACGTGGGGGCCATGGACCCACTGACACGGGTTCATACAGCACCAACCCCAATGGGAGGCACAGGGAGGGCAGTCCCAGTTCATCTTGGGGCATCCGGTTTGGAGGACAACACAGACACCAAGGTGCCGGATGGCAACGGAACCCATGGGACATGGAGTGAGCACTGGCAGCAGCCGCACCATGGCCCCTGTGTTGGGCTCCAGACCACTCGGGTCCCCCCCACCCCGAGTCCAGCTCATGGCACTGCAGACTCAGAGCACTTTGGACCAGAGCCTGCTCCTCTCCTGGATCTTGCCCCATTGGATGGTTCCAAACTTTTACAGCATTCCTGAAACATCCTGTTGCGCTTTTCCTCCCTCCTCCATCCTCTTTATTTTCCATTATTTGCTACGGTCTCCACATTCCCGGGTCGGATGCCAGGAATCTTCCTGGCCCAGGGAAAAGCATGGAACAGGCTGGATGCCCCTCGCTCCGCCCTCTGGCCCCAGTTGCCCCAGTACGTTGTGCTGGACCCCAGCCACTGCCCCAAGAGCACTGATCCATCACATCAGAGGCACTGATCCATCACACTGGGGACACGGGGCCCTGGCCCTGGGGTCGGCTCCCTCAGCTGCTGGGAGCAGGACAACGGAGCCAAGGCCCAAGAGAAGCTCAACCCCCCCGCTCCCCAGCCACCATCCTCCTCTTCCTCAGCACCCCTGGGCCGGGCCGGTGCCAATGGGGCCCCGGTGACTGATGGCTCCGCCGAGGCGGGAGGCGGTTCCCTGGCAACGGCGCCATGGCAACAGCGCCATGGCAACGGGGCGAGCCGCTGGGAGGGGGATGCACAAACCCAGTGCCACCAAACCGGGGCTGTTAAACCAGGGCCGTCAAACCTAGTGCCAACAAATCCAGTGCCAACAAACCAAGCACCACCAAACCCAGCGCCACCAAACCGGGGCTGTCAAACCCAGTGCCATCAAACCCAGTGCCACCAAACTCAGTGCCACCAAACCGGGGCCACCATACCAGTGCCACCAAACCCAGTGCCACCAAACTGGGGCCACTAAACCAGGGCCACCAAACCAGGGCCATCAAACCAGGGCCTCTGAGCCCAGTGCCACCAAACCAGGGCCATCAAACCAAGTGCCACCAAACCCAGTGCCACCAAACCAGGACCTCTGAGCCCAGTGCCACCAAACCCAGTGCCATCAAACCCAGTGCCACCAAACCAGTGCCACCAAACCCAGTGCCATCAAACCCAGCGCCACCAAACCACTGCCATCAAACCAAGTGCCACCAATCCCAGTTCCACCAAACCCAGTGCCATCAAACCCAGTGCCACCCGGCTCCTAAAGGAACCACAAACTGGGCAAAGAAGCCCAGAATGAGCCCTTCCTCCTCCCCCCTCACTTCACCCTCTCTCCGGAGCAGTGGTGAGCAAGCTCCTGCTGTCCCACCCGGTGTCCGTGCCGTGCGCATCCCATCCCTGTGGGTCCCAGCGCAGCTCCTCGAGCTGTTCCTGGATGCACCACATGGCTGGGAAAGCCGTGGGCTGCGGTGCGGGGAGACGAGGCTTGAAAGGAGCAGGGATGCGAGTGGCACCGGGGGATGACGTCCCGGGAACTCCCACCTGCAAGGGCAGCATTCCCTGGACCTCGGGATGGATCCTCACACACGTGGGATCATGCGTGCATGCACTGTGCTCTCCCTCTGCTCTCCAGCCCTTTCCAGCCCTGCTGATGCTGCCGTTTCCGACCATCACAAGGGAAGCCCGTGACCTTTTGTCTCCTCCCCGCCTGACACGAAACAATAATGTTTATTTGCCTTCCTCTCCTTTTTTTTCCCATTAGCTCATCCAAATGTGCGAAGAGCCGCTCCTCCGCTCCCCCGACCTCCAGTTCCCTTCCATCCGCTCAGCTCCGAGCCAAGGGGAAGGCAGGGGGGAGACCCCAGACCCCAACACCAGCACCGGGGATGGGGAGGGCTGCAGGGCCTGGACCCCGTGTGAACGGCAGCACCGGCACTGATTTACGGCCCCATTCCCATGCCAAGAGCCGGGCCCTTTGGCTGAGCCTGGAGTGACGCTGCCATGGGGAGGCTGCAGCCTCCGTCACGGAGCCATTAACAGCGGGGCTGCTATCGAACGCCCTCGCTGCGAGCTCATCGACCACAAAGGCAAACGAAAGCTGTGACAGCGCAGGGAACAGGATGGGACCCCCCCCAATCCCTGCCCCACCGTGCTCAGCCCCTTCCCTCCCCGTATCCCTTTGCCTGTGCAGCCCCATCCATCGCTGCTGCGGCCCGGGGAGGAGATGGGGAGAGCGGGGAGGTGGGAGGAGGAGATGGCAGCCCCAGGCTCCCGAAAACGCAGGATGCATTAGAGCAAGCAGCGCTGCCTGATTGATTCTTCGGGCTGAGATGTGGGCTGGGAGTGCCAGGAGAAAATGGATCCCATGAATATTTGATGAACGGAGGCTTGGGGAGGGAGTTTGATTGGAAAATTACAGATCTTTCAAACAATGGTTCAAGTGCCCTCCAAACACTCGGGTTTCCAGCTCCCTTCCAGTTAGAGGAGCAAGGCTCCACCAGGAAACTCCCCACAGTTTATGAATGAGCATGGAGCCAGCCTCTCCCCATGCCTGGGAGCGCCAACCGACCAGGACACAGCTCCGGGCACCTCCGGTCCCCATTCACACAAGGCAGAGTGGCTTTTCCACACCAGTGCCACATCCATGGGCACACACAAGGCTCCAAGGAGCATCAGGAACCACTCCAGGGCCAGGGAACCCATGGGAGCTCGGTCCTCGGCGCCGAGCCAAGGGGCTGGGTTCATCCCGCATCCAAACCATCTCCACCCTGGCTGGGGCAGGATCCGCCCCGGCTCCTCTCTGTGCTCCTGGGTTGCTGCAGGGCTCATCCTCACCCCCCCCGAGCAGCTCCTGTCTGGGGCCCTGGGGCTCACTCACCCCCGGATGGAGCAGACGGGCTCCATCGCACGCTTCTGCCTGCGCCCAACCCTGCCCTGGTGCTTCCAAGCTTTCCCCCCCTCAAGCCCTTCCGTGCTGCCGGCACCTCCGCCGCTGGAGACGGGCCCACGGCCAGCACCACGCAGACCGCAGGAGATCCTGGGCAGGGAACGGGGCTGCTTCTGGCCAGGAAGCGGGAGCACCAACACCAGCAGCTTCCCAGGGAACCTGCTCTGGTTCCTGCCCAGCCCAAAGGCCCCGTCCCACCGTAAGTGGCCAAACCCTGCAGGGATGGACCCGACCTCTGTTCGCTCCCTGCTGGTCCAGCCTGCGGGGTTCTGCTTCTCCCCAGCAGCAGGTGGAGAGCCCCAGGTCCCTTCCCAAAGCGCTCCTCAGGTAGAAACCTCTCTCCTTCCCCTGCTGCTCCTCAGCTTCGGGTCAGGGGTGAGCAGGGTTGGGAGGGCAGGACCAGGAGGGTCCCCACTCAGAGAAGACCCAAAGGGAGAGATCCAGATGTGCAGATCCACAACCTCCAGCTGCTCAAGAGCATCAACAGCAGCAGGGCATGGGACAGACAAGCAGCTCCGATGGGACCAACGTCTTCAGAAGAGCTGGATGCTTTTGGCCGAACCCCACGAGGCACCAGCGGCTCGCAGCAGCCAGGACCCTCCTGCAGCCACTGCCAGAGCCAAGGTGAAGCAGGAGCCAAAGCAAGGCTGGCAGCACGCTCCCAAGCACCCATGGTCATCAGGGTGACATCAGGGGAGACCTCGCTGCATCCCCACTGCCCCAGGACCCTCCTAAACGTGCCCATGACCAGGATTGGAGGGAGCAGGACTGACCCAGTGACACCCGGAGCTGCAGGGCTCCTCACTGCCCAGCTCCTGCAGCTCCTCACTGCCCTGCTCCCCAGGGCTCATCGTGCTCCTCGGTTCTGCCCTTTCCCTCCCTGCCTTTTGGCAAATCACACACACGTTTTCCTCCCCGGTGAGGCACTGTTCTGATGGCACCAGCACACCGAGGAGCTGCCCAAAGCCATGGACCTGCCTCGGCGAGCTCTCGCCTCCCATCCCTCCAGCAGCACAGGGCGCTGCTCTGCTTCCCCAGCCCCACCACCTCTGACATGACCCCAGACCCCATTTATGCCACCTCGACCCCAGGAACCCCCCTTCCCACCCCTCACCAGCACCCCATGGGGTTCTCCCTCAGTGGGAGGTGGACGGTGGTGAGTGGGACCTGTTGAGCACCCAGCATCTAACAAGAGCATCAGGACAAGGCCGATGGAGGGTCACTGGCCCCAGGCAGGATGGATGTGCCCCAGGGGATGAAGGGAGACCCTTGTTTGCCACGGTGGGGACTGAAGCATGGGAAGGGAAGGAAAGGCCTCGGTGAGACACGGCTGCTGGCAGCCACCCAGCCCCACCAGTCCCTGTGGGGCAAACCCAGTGCGGAGCAGGATGGATCCCAACCACCGGCCTCCACCTGCTCCCTCCATCGCCCGCAAAGCCCCATGCGCGGCTCTTGAGCCCGCCTGCAGGCACCGACCGAGCCGGCAGGGCCCCACCGCAGCACACAAAGGACGAGGCCGGGGTACGGAGCGCACCCGTCCCTCCGGACCCCGCACAGCAGCAGCAGCCGCGGCTCAGGGCCGGGGATGCGGGCGCTGGGGGGGGGGGGGGCTCCGCGGTCCCGCGACGGCAACAACAGGTTCAAAACACAAAAATAAACGCCCCTCCCACCCCCCCCCCCCGCCGCTTCCCGCACCGCTGCCAGCGGAGACGCCCCCCCCCGCAACCCCCGCTCCACACCGGGGCCTCCGGAGCCGTTGCACCCCGAAACGGAGCCGCGGCACCCCCGGGCAGGGACCGGAGCAGCACCGGGTGGGGGGGGGGGCGCAGGGAGGGCCTGGTGTGGGGGTCCCGAACCCTCTGCATGGGGAGATGCGAGGCCCCGGTGTTGGGGTTCTGAGTCCCCAGGATTGGGGGGGGGGCAGAGCCCCCGGTTTCATGCTCCCGAGGTCCTGTATTGACGGGATATGAGCCCCCGGTGTGAGCTCGGTGAGCCCGCGGTGCGGGGATCCCGCAGCCCCGGTGCGGGGTCCCGGGCCCTGGCTCTCGGTGGAACCCCCCCCCCCCTCCCACCTCAGTGCTGCGGGGCCCTCCCGGTACTCACTCCATTTTCCGTGCGGGCTGGGCGGTGGCTCCGGGGCCGGACGGGGCGAGGCGGAGCGGGGCCGGCGTCCGCCGGCGTCCCGGCGCTCAGGGCCCGGCGGGCGGCGGCATCCCCCGGCGGGGCTGCGGGATGCGCAGGGATGTCGGGGCCGCGCCGGTGCTCCCGCCTCCCGCGCCGCCCGCACAGCTCCGTCTGCCGGGCGCGGCCCGCCACTGCCGCCGCCCCTCACCCGGCCTCGGGGCGCGGCGCTGCCGCCCGCCGCTGCCGGCGGCCCCGGGGCTGCGGGGGGAGCCCCACAGCGGGTCCCGGCTGAGCGGTGACCTGGTCATTGCCCCGCACACCCCCTTTCCCCCCCTCCCAATGCCACAGGAGGTCTCCCCCCAGGCATTGCCCCTGCCACTCTCACGGCTCCCGCTGCACCTCCATGGCCTCAGCACCCGGCCCTGAAGGTGCAACCGGGGAGAGGATGGAGAAGGGGGAGCCCGGGTCCCCCCTCACTGCTCCTGTTTCCCAATGCAAGAGCTGCGTTGGGCAAACTCCGGCAAACTGACACAGGAAGCCCCGAGCCAGGCTCCGACCGCAGCCCGTTAGGAAACGTGCCCATTGCCAGGGTCAGAGCTCCCGGCTGCAGCAGTGGGGTTCACCCCCCCATACACCCATCCCGGTACACGCATAGTCCCTGCCCCGGGATGAAGCTGCCATTGCAGCACTGAGGCACCATTGCAGCGCCTGTGGCCCCCACCAGCAGCATTGCACAAAGCAGCAACAGCCAGAGAGGAAGAAGCAGGAGGGGGATACCCGCTGGCACCCTGAAGTATTTAAGCACCCCCCCATCCTTAGTGGCCCCACAGGAGGTGGCAGTGACCTGCTCTGCACCAGCATGGTCACGGTTGGGCTCTTCATCGTCAGCCTGGGAGGCTCCATCCTGCTCCTGGCACCAGCAGGTAAAGGGGGACCTGGGGCTGAGGAGGATGCGGGGTGGGAGATGGAGACCCCAGGCTGGAGCACTGTGGGTGGGTGGGTGGGTGGGGTTCAGGACACCCTGGCAGCCGATGACATCCTGCACCCCCTCCCCCCCCCCTCCAGGCACCCAGGGGACCTGGATCATCGGGGGAAAGGTGGTGCCCCCCCACTCCCGGCCCTTCATCGCCTCCATCCAGATGGACGGGCAGCACGTCTGCGGGGGCTTCCTGGTGTGGCCCAAGTGGGTGATGACAGCAGCCCACTGCCTCATTCCCCGGTGAGCCATGGTCCCACGGGGGGGGCATGAGCATCCCAATCCCCCCCCCGGGATACAGCACAAACAGCCACCCGCATCCCAGACACAGTCCTGGAGGGATAGGACAAGGGGTGATGGGTTTAAACTGAAACAGGGCAGGGTCAGGTTGGATGTAAGGAAGAAGCTCTTCCCTGTGAGGGTGCTGAGGCGCTGGCACAGGGTGCCCAGAGAAGCTGTGGCTGCCCCATCCCTGGCAGTGCTCAAGGCCAGGTTGGACACAGGGGCTTGGAGCAAGCTGCTCCAGTGGAAGAGGTCCCCATGGCAGGGGTTGGAGCTGGATGAGCTTTAAGCTCCCTTCACCCCAAACCCCTCCATCTTTCTATTCCATCATTCCCACCCACCCACGCACCCCTCAAGCCTCCCTGCTCCCCCCTTGCTGCCCCCCAACCACGGCAGCACCCACTCAGGACCCCCCCACTGCAGGCGCAACCCCTCAGTGCGGGTGGTGCTGGGCGCCCACCGGCTGCAGGAGCCCGAGGGGTCCCAACAGGTCTTCAGCATCGCCGAGTCCATCGCCCACCCGCATTATAACCCCCGCTCGGTGGACAACGACATCCGCATGCTCAAGGTGAGGCCCGGGGGAGGGTGAGGGGGGGCCTGGGGTGCCCCATGCAGGACCGAGCCGACACTAGATGTCAGTGCTTCTCCGGAGAAGCAGGGCCACGCCATGGGGTGCGATGGAGGCGGGTGAGGACCAACCTCCCTCCCTCCCTTCGCTCTGAGCACACTAGGACCAGTGCAGAGAGGCTGGCAATGTGGGGCTCAGCCTGAGCAAGGAGTTGCGGTGGGAATGGGATGGGGCGCTATGGGGTGTAGGGCTCTGCCGCAAAGCCACCATTGTACACAGCTCAACAGGTCGGCCACGCTGAACCAGTACGTGAAGCGGATCCGCCTGCCCCCTCCGCACATAGACCTGAAGCCCGGCACCGTCTGCTTCGTGCTGGGCTGGGGGGACACCTCCAACTACGGCGACCGGCCCACGGAGCTCATGGAGACCGGCACCACCATCGTCAAGCGGAGCCTGTGCCGCACGCTGTGGAGGGGCAAGGTCTCGTCCAACATGATGTGCGGGGCGAGCCGCAACGCCACGCTGCAGGGTGTCTGCGCGGTGAGTGCGGTGCCGGCACCCAAACACCCCCCTCCAGGAGACCCCCTCGGCCCCTTCCCACCCCCTGTGCTTTGCAGGGGGACTCCGGGGGACCCCTGATCTTCAAGAAGAAGGTTTACGGCATCGTCTCGTTCTCCGGGCAGAGGTGCGGGGACCGCCGGTACCCCGACATCTACACCAAGATCTCCAACTACATCGACTGGGTGCATCGCACCGTGCAAGGGCATCGTCATCAGAAGGGGAGGCCAAAGCCCTAGTGGGGCTGGGAAGGAGCCTGGGGGCCATGGGGAAAGCTGTTTGGCAGCTCCTGGGAGGGGAGAAGAGCACCAGGACCCCCAGGTCCCCTGTCCCAAGGGGGTTTGGGAGCTGATGCTCAGTCTGAGTTTGCCTGTTGGGGATGGGAGCCGAGCTGCCCCAGCCCCAACACCTCGCTCGGCCTCTTGCAGCTGCAAATTTGCCTTCCTCAATAAAACCTTGGTCCCAGACTTCTCTTCATTCACCCTCCCTCTACCCCCAAGCTCTGGAGAAGGGGAGCTCCTTTGCTCCCCACCATGGTCTGCCCACCCCAGGGATGTGATGGGGATCCAAGGAGGGTGGACTGTGGCTACTGCTTCTGCCCAGGTGGCTGCTCCCCATCTCAATGGGGGCTGGTTTTTTCAGGCTTTCCCTTCTCCTGTCCTTCCCCTACCCACTACAACCCCCTCTCTGTCTGTTCTACTGCTCCCCTTTGGGTTCCAGACACCGGGCTTGTCCTGGACGGGGGTGAATGGAGCAGGGGCTGCAGGAGGAAGGAGGGACCCACTCATGACCAGACCCTGGTCCAGAGGAGCCAAAACCCACATCCATTCACTGCTGCCTCACAGAGCATCCCCAGCCGCACTGAGGCTGCCCCGCTGCCGGGGTGGGGCTCCCCATCCCATCCCATCCCATCCCGTCCCACCCTGTCTCACCCCATCCCGTCTCGTCTTGTCCCGTCCCGTCTCACTCCACACCCTCCCCACCGCGCTGCGGGACCCCCCAAACAGGGGAACCACAGAGCCCCCGGGGGTAGATGATGGGCTCCGGCCGCCCGCTGCGCTGGCAGAGCCCGCAGGGTGCCGGCACGCTGGGGCGCGCAGCCGGGTGCTCCCCCCCTAACCACGGGGGACACTGGGGTGGCTGCGGGCACAGGGACCGGGGTGCGGGGGGGACGTGCGCTGAGCTGCTGCCGGCTCTCAGCGTGCGGCATCGCCAACGTCTCCAGGGACATTCCCTGCTCCTGGCTTGATGTGGCTGCAAATTGCTGGCACGCCGCGGCCACGGGGTCCCGCAGGAGGCTGCAGCGACCGCAGCATCCGGCACCGGCCGTGCCACAGCCCCCGGGGCCAGGATAAAGGCCAGGGTTTGGCTGAGAGGTCCCCAGACCGACCCTCACCATCGGCTCCCTGCGCTCACCGCACCGGGAAGCTTTGGCTGCCCCATCCCCTCCTGTCGCAATCTCAGCTCCCCACTGCGCTGCTTTGCATGGGATCAGGGGGCCGCAACCACGGGCATCCACGGCCTTGGGGACACCCAGCAGAGAACAGACCCCTGTCAAGCTGCCCACCTCCAAGGAAGCCCCAAACCCCTATGGGGCTCCCAGCAGCATGGGGCAGACCCCCCCCTCCTCACTCCGGGATGCCAGGGCAGGGTTTCTGTGTGCTGCCGGGAAGCCTGGAGAGCCGGCGCCTGTCCCGGCTTGTCCCAGACCACCCAAAATCCTTCGGGAAGGAGGCGCCTGACTCACGGCCGTGTTTTGGAAGCCGAAATCTCCCGCTCATCGGCAGGAGCTGACGTCGCTGCCGCAGCCCGTGCCTGCGGGGCTCGGCGCGGGGCCATGCGCCAGCGCTCCGGGCACCGAAGGCCGAGGATGAGGAAGGTGCCCCGGGGAGGAAGGCGCTGGGGAGGGCTCGGAGGAGCCCAGGCCACACACACCACTACGTGCTACGAGTGCTGGTGCCAGGGGAAGCCCTGGGCAGCGTTTTGGCAGCACCTTTACACCCATCCCTGAATGCAGACTGGGCATCGCGGAGCTGGGTGGGTAGAGAGGGGCTGCAAGGAGAGCCCCTACCTAATGGTGGTGATGCTGCTGCCTGGTCAGCTGCGGGGTGCAGGCGATGCTGGGTTCAAACGTGACTGTAGCCTAGGCTGGATCCTGCATGATGCTCAGCACCGGACCACAGGAAGGGCTGAGGGTGCTGGGTCTCATTCCCCCTCACTGCTCTACGTTGTCTCAGTTTGGAACCCCCAGCCCAACGTGGGGGCTGCATCCTGCTGTCCCCCAACACAGGGGATGCGGCTCCCGTTGAGCTGCCAGTGCCAAGCCACTGGTCCGGGCTCCCGCGGTGGGGAAGCGCCGCACATCAGGACCCAATTACGAGCAGGAATTGTTTTGTGAAATACCAAACCCTCACGGCACGGCCTGATATTGGGAACAGATTTATCTGCCTGGCTGCTTGCTCTTCCCTTTCCTCCCGCTGCAGGGAATGGCCTCAGCCAGGCTGGAAACATCCAACACTTGAAGCCAAGTGGGAGCGGGGGCTCTCAACCATCCCCATCCCAAGCAAAGGAGCTCGCAGTGATGCTGCAGCAGTGCAGCCCTGGGGGATGCAGCCACCTCCTGAGGCCCCAGAACCAGAACCGGACCCACGGCACTGTTTTTATGGGTTTTAATGATAAGGCAAATGGTAACACAGCTGTAAAATGCCCCTAACGCTGCCAAGTAGGAAATGGGGGTGTCCCCAGAGCGTCTGCCGCAGGAATCGGAACGCAACCATACAAAAATAGAAAATAGGGTATTTTTATATATATATATATAAAATATATATATGATATTTATATAAAGGCAATAGCTTTTCAGTGTCAGAGATGAGATGTTATTTACACAGGTGACAACACACAACATGAGAGAAGTAGTAAAAATAAATACAGAGGGTGTTGACAGGGCAGTCAACAGAGCAGGGGGTGCCCGGGGGGGGTGCCAGGCAGGGCCATTGGTCCCTCCTGTCCCCCTTTGCCAAGCCACGCTCCCCATGGCCACCCCACAGCGGCTCTGGGAAGCAAGCACTGTCATGGCATGGAGGGATTGAGGGCAAACTGGACCCGGGTGATGGGCTCTGAGTGAGGGCACTGCAGGGTGGGGAGCTCAAGGGGATGGATGTGCCCCCCGGTCAGGGCTGCCATGGTCCGTGATGGTGCGGCCACCATCGCACCAGCATCACCTCCAAGGATGGGTGGGAGCCTGGGCTTGAAGGGACCAGGAAAGCTTCAACTAAAATCTGTTTTAACATACACATGATAAAACCTTAGGATAAACTCACATACATACATATATATATATATGTATAAATACATATCGACCCATCTCCAATCCTCTGCAGCACTGTGCTGCCCTTCCTGCCATTGGCAGCTGGGAAGGCGAAAGCGCAGATTCCCCCTGGACCTCAAGGTCCCGGCCAGGAACGTCAGCACAGTACTGAGAATTCCATCCAAAAATAAATAGGCCCAGGGCTGGTGGCCAAGGACACGAATGGGGGGGGCCCAATGCACGGCAGCACCGACACCCCCATGGGTACCGGGTGCTGGAGCATCCCCAGGGCGACTCCAGGAGCCCCCTGCCCTGCTCTCCTGCAGCTGCATAACATACACAGGTATAAATAAAGGAAGGTTTTATCTTAATAAATATCAGGTATATGGTTTGTACAATATACACATAATGCCCCTGTCTCCTGGGTCCGGCCTCGTGGCGAGGGAGGATTCACACGTAGTTCTCTTCCACGTTGTCCGTCTCCGCGGAGAATTTGGCCGCAGCTGGAAACAGAGCAGGAGAAGCGGTGATGGAGATGCTGGGATGGGAGGGATCTGAGCCCACTTCCCCCCATCTGGACCCCCACTCACCCGAGCAGCTCCCATAGTGGCGCACGCCAATGGAGCGGCCGCGGTGGCAAGTGGCCCGCCGGAGGTGGCAAGCTGAGGGGTAGGTGATGTTGTTGTTGCCGCAGAGGGCATGGTCCAGGCTGGTGGGCTCGGGGCAAGGCGCCGTCCGGCACATCACGCAGTGGGCGCTGCCTGTCTGGTCCACCACGCAGGTGTGGGTGCCGGGGCACACCACGCTGGAGCAGGACTCTGTGGGGAAGCACACACTGAGCTGGGGGGAAGCCAGGGGTGGACAAAGGGCTCCAACCATGGGGATCGTCCCAGGGAAACCCGGGCAGCTCAAGCCCCCTCCTGCCTTTAGTATGGGATGGAGCCAGGGCTGCAGGGTCCCAAGCATCCCCCATCACCAGTGCTCTGGAGGAGAGGAGCCGATGATGGGGTGCAAGGGACCGCTTGGCCCCGCAGCCCTTGAGCGTGGCTCCATCCAGAGCCGAGATCTGGCTGCAGAGCCAAGCACATGGGGCTGAGCCCATTGGGACCTGGCTGGGGCGAGCGGCCCCACACAGGTGCCTTGGCAGCGGGAGCAGCAGCCGCTCCAAGCGGGCTGGCAGCACCGTGAGCAGGGAAAGGTCACGTTGGACCCTGCATGGAGCTCAGGGCTTGTGTAGCCCCCATCCCGCAGCAAACCCCAGTGTGTGCTCAGCACATCCCCGTTGTTGTGAACACTTCCCAAGGCCCTCCCTCCTTTCCCTGCCGGATTGGAAGGAGATTTGGCATCTGCAGCTCCCAGCTCGCAACTCACATTTCTTGCCCCACATTTCCCTGCGCAGGCCAGAGCTCGACAGGCAAAAGCATTTCAGAGAGGAGGGCTGGCAAAAATAACCATAATAATTCTGACAGCTCTTGGCAGGGAGGGAGGATTGCTGCTCGCTTTCACAAAGGAACAAAAAAGGGGCTTGAGGCTTGCGAGTGACATTTTACGGACTGTTATTCCTCAGCCTGCGGCGAGGTTAAGCCTCCATCGCATGGATGGGCTGTGGAAGCATCACACGTCCCAACCGGGTGGCAGGGCAAGCTCAGAGCGCAGGGAGGGTGATGCTGAGGGATGAGAGCCGATAGATGCCCATGTCCCAACAGGAGCTCTGCACCGGGATAGAGCTTCCCTCTCTGGGCATGGGGTACAGACCCTGTGCTGGGGCAATGGCAGCAACCAGTGCTCAGGGCAGGACACAGTGGAGAGAATGGGGAGACCCGGATTCCCAGTGGGAAAGGATGTGCGTGGTCACATCACCACAACACAACAGGGGGGGAGCTCTTCCTCTGCACCAGAGCCAGCTCATGGCGCAGCCAGGGACCCGCGCTGCCGTTCATCTCCTCCCATGCAGGCAGAGCTTGGAGCTGGGAGAACGGGAAGCAGAGGGAACAGGGAGAGGATGGGATAAAGCAGGGACAAGGGGACCTACTTTTGCATTTGCCCTGGTACATGACTTCGAGGTCGGGGTGGTCCCTGCACTTGGCTGTCAGGAGGTCGCACTCGTCGCGGTAGGTGTAGCCGTCGGAGCCGCAGACCTGCAGCTTGCGGGGCAGGCTGGAGCAGTCCGGGGCACAGGCGCACTGGGGACGCCCGTGCTTCATCTTGCAGACCTTGTCGGGGCCGCACACCACCCCCTCGCAGCTCTCTGGGGACAGAAGGGAGCAGAGCGTGAGGAGGATGCGGTGCCAGCATCCGGGAAGGCTCCGTCCTGCCCAGCCTCCTGCAGGGGCAGATCCATAGGGATGGGGCCCCGCATCAGCCCTCGGGAAAGAGGAGGGGGGGGGAGCCCAAATCCCTGGTTACAACACGCAGCATCTGGATCTGCTCAGCTCCAAGGAGCAGGTCGTTGGTGGGAGCGCATCCAGCCGGAGCCTGGCGCTCCGCTCCGCACCAGCTCCTCGCTTCCATGCGCTGAGTGCTTTGGAAGGAGAGCTTTCATTTATGCTTGTGCAATGGAAAAACCTCCCCGTGCGCAAGGCCCCGGCTCCTCCGGCAGGATCCGGGCTTCGGGAGTTGTCTGGGCGATGGGGAACGCCGCTGCCACCACACAATACCCGGCCCTGTTCCGCTCTGCGCCTCCGTGACTGGAACACAAGAGCAGGGTCCCCAGACAGGCGGCAGCTTTGTGTCCCCCCCCCTTCCCCGGGTCACCTCCCGGCCAGCTCGGGGGCCGGGTTCAAGGGGTCCCGGGGCCGTGCCCACTGCGGCAGGGATGGAGAGGGGCCCATCCCGGGTGCTGGTGGCTCCACAGGGAGAGGCAAAGGGCTCAGCACCAAGAAGCAGGGATGGGGGCTCTGGAAGCCCCTTGCACCGCACACAGCCCAATGGGACCCTTTGCCTGCTGAGCTCCCCAGGACACAGGCAATGATGGGAGCTGGGGGTGCAGGGACCCATCAGCACCCCCACAAAGGCCAGGCAGGAGCGAGGATGGGGATTCACCCCCCAGCAGGAAGGATTCCCGCAGACAGGGTGTGTGTGGGAGCTGTTGGGAGGTGCGGAGGGGGATTTCCCTGCAGGAGATGGGTCACTTTGGGAGACAGGGGAGAGGAGGAGGAGGAGGAGGAGGAGGAAGGGGAAATTCCCTGTCTTCTTGGCCCTGCGCTCCCCGGGGGAAATTCCCTGGTGGGAGACAGTTTCCCAGCTTGTTCCCTGATTTCCATAGCTGGGGCTGGTCCAAGGGAAGGGGAGAGGGACAAGGCTGAGCCCTGGCAGCATCTCTGCTGAGAGCTGCAGGGACAAGACCCCAGGACACAGGGGCCTGGCCCCGTGCCCCAGCGCTGCTGGAGCAAGCAGGACCTTGGTCACCCTCCGTGCGGGAATGCTGCTGCAGGCACAGCAGGATCCAACCATCAGCACGGGACGGAGGCAGCTGGAGCATCCCTGACCCCGACCCCTGGTCCTGGAGCGGGGGACACCGTGTCCCCAGCAGCTGGAGCCAGGAATTCCGCCTCCCAACCAGAGACCCATTGCAGAGCCCACGGGACCCGGCCAGCACCTTCCCGCAGGGCTCTGCTGCTGGCTCGGGGCTGGTGCCTGCAGCCCGCTCTATCCTGGAGTAACCTCTCCCGGCCCCATGAGCCCGGGGAGCGGGAGCACGGCTCGGCTCATCCGCCCTTTTCCAAGGCCTCCGGTGGGGAGCAGCACCAGCTCCATCTGGATGGGGCGCTCGGCAGGGTGGGGAGATGCTGTGGGGAGATGGGGCTTCAAAGCTCCTGCTTCAGTGATCCCCAAAGCCAAAACCCCCCCATCGTGTCCCTTTGCCCCAGCACGGGGTGGACACCATGCTCCATGCGCAGCCCTTGGAGAGGCTCCCAGTGCTCCCAGCACCCACCAACCTGATCCCACTCAGTCTATGCATGCACAGGGCACAGCCCCGAGCCAGGACCAGGCTGAGGAGCAGCCGGGGGTGCAGAGGAGCTGGAAGAAGCCGTTTCCTTCCAAACCCTTTTCCTTCCCCCCCTTCCTTTAAATCCCAACCTGACCTCCCAAAGACCTGCTCCTGCCTCCTGCGGTCAGCAGGTCCTCGAGCGTGTTCTCACATGGCCACGCAATTGCGACCGGGGGATCCGTGCCTCCGGCGCACGCCAAAACATCTGGCGGGGCTGGAACTCACAGCTGGAGCGTTTCCACTGCTGGAACTGCCCGTTACATAAAGCCATTCCACACACACGCGCTTGGGAGAGGGAAGGGGGAGCGGAGGGGAAGAAACAGAGCTTCCCCCCACACACTTTAAATGAACCTTATGAAGGTTCCCTCTGAGCAGCCCTGGCAGGGACAGGGGGTGGGAAGCCTCAACCACAATGAGTTAACCTGGGACCATGGAGCCCCAGCTCAGCTCCTTGACTCATCGCCCCACAGCCAAGAGCCAGGTCACACATCCCACTCCATAGAGAACAACAAAACTACGCACAGAATGAGAGGAGCCGGGGGATGGAGGCTGTCCCAGGAGCCCTGGCCCCATGGCAGCATCCATCCCGCAGCAGGAGGGTACCAGGGCAGCCCAGCCCCATCGCTGCTGCATCACGCAGAGCATCCTTTGAGCATCCCCCCCACCCCAGGCAGAGCTCGGCCCCGCTCACCTTTGCAGGGGTGGCAGGTCACCAGCCCCAGGAAGCCCAGCAGGCTGATCTTGTTGCCTGGGTAGGTGTAGTTAGACCAGGCGACGTCCACATTGCCATTGGCACAGCATTCCTCCCACGTCACTCCCGTCTTCAGGATCATGGTGCACTTGGCCTCCTTCCCCTGCTGCAGCCAGCAGATCCCACCTGCGGACAGGGCAGAGGGTGAGGGGTCCCTGCTGTGCCAGCCTGGCTCCCACCGCTCCTGGTGCACAAGGATGTCCCCATGGATCCTGGCCCAGCGTGGCAGCGCTGACACCCCAAAGCCTGTGCCCCTAGCAGCCAACAGGCTCCAAACACAGCACCAGGACTGCAGGGACACCCCAGTGCTCTGAGTGATGCTCTGGGAGATGCCCATGGCCAGGGTCTGGGCTTGCAGCTCGCCCTCCCTGCAGTTGGGATGCTCCAGCCCCAAAGGGGGACCAGAGGATGCCCGCATTGTGCAGGCTGGTTCCCCCCACATGCACCAGCGGCCCCGCAGTGGGATGGAGCATCAACACCCACAGCCTCTGCAAGCAGCATCCGAGGCACCGGCCGGAGAACGGGGCACTTGACACAGCCCTTGGGCTGGGGCCAGCCCCGCGGCATCGGATCCCTGTGAGTCAAAAGCCTGTTTGTTCCTTCACCCCCCGGACCCAGCAGTCAGAGGTTTTTGTTGTGAGTGATTCCTCTGCGATTTCCGCCCCTGCAAACCAGCCTCTTCTGATGCTTATTTGGGTTCCTGCTCTCATTAGCTGCAGTTTGAGGTTTGTTCAACGGCTGAAGACGGGAGGGAGCGAGGGGGAAGGGATGGATCCTGCCGGTGCCGGGCTGCAGTCGCTCCCTGCAAAGCGGAGTCTGCACCCACCTTGGGACTGCTGACCCCCCGCTCCCTCCCATGCACCCCATTTTGGTTCAGCCAAAAGCACATGAGGGCCCCAGCACCATGGATGGAGCAAACCCTCGGGCTGCAGAACCAGTGGCTTGGACACCTCTGGAAGCATCTGCCAGGCCAAGACACCTCTGCCATCAGTGGGTTTGTCTCATCACCCTTTCAAGCCAGTTTTCCCCCTTAGGACACCCATGGCTCCAGCTCCTCTATGGTCCAAGCCACATCCTGACTCCGGACGCTGCTTGTCCCACACACACTGGGATGGCTCCATGCACCCCTACTGTCTGAGGTGCACCCACCATGCCCTGAGCCACGCTGGGGAGCACCAGGGGACATTCCCTGGGCAGGGGGATGGAGCCACCCTCCCTGCACTGGAGCAAGGTGGCCGTGGGATGGGAAGATGGAAAACTCGAGCGTTGCCGCGGGAGAGCCGGCACCGGCTGCGCTGACCACGGCTCCACTGGGATGAGCTTTGGGATCCCGCAGCAGGGTCCTGAACACCCTGGGCATGGGGATGGAGCAGCTCCTGCACAGCCCCGAGTGCTGGGAGCGCCGTCAGCTGAACCGGGAGGGGTTCGAGCTGCAAACTCCACACCCAGATCGCGCTGCTCCCGGTGGGCCTGGGGCGAGGGACCCCAACCCGGGGGCTCAGCGGGGGCTCCCGGGGCCGGCCATGGGGTTGTGCCCATCATCACCCCACCGCGGGGCACATCCCGGGGGCCGGCACCGCAGGACGGGACTTGGCAGCGGGACCCCCTCGGGGCACCCTCCGGGCTGGAAGGACAGCGCGGACCGGAGCCACCGGGTGGCACCACCGGGGACCGGCTCCCGCTGCTCCGCCAGCGCCCAGCACCCACCCGAGAGCCTCCCGGTAAAACGGGTTCCTACGGCCGAGAGCCCAGCCCGGGGCGGCGGCACCCGAGGGGAGGCGGGGGGGGGGGGGAAAGCAGCCCGGTAACGGCACCGGGACACCGGACCGGGCCGTCCCTGTTCCCAGCACCTGCCAGCGCGGCGGGGAGCGGCGGCACCGACGGCTCGGGGCGGGCGGCTCCGGTGGGAGCGGTTGCTCCGGTGCCCCCCCAACGCACCCCCCCCTTTTCCCTCCCCTCGGGGCGGCACTTACCGTGCGCGGCGGCGGCGGCGGGGGGGCTGCAGAGGGCGAGCAGGCAGAGCGCCAGCCGCAGCGGCATGGCCGGGCCGGGGCGGCGGGACCGGGACCGGGACCGGGACCTGTTGCCTGTGAGGCGGCGGCGGGGCCGGCGGCGTTATAAAGCGGCGGGGCGGCGTGAATCACCGGGCGGGGCGGCGGCGGCGGCGGGGGGGGGGCCGCGGCCGGGGGCGGGGGTAAATGGAGAGGGGGGGGCACGCTGAGAGACGGGGGGGGGGTGTTACCGGGGGTCTGCTCGGTGGGACGGGTGTCGGTTTGGGGGGGTCGGGGTGTGGATGTGCCCGTGTGTCCCCAAGGCTGGACTGCACTGAGATAGGGAGGGGAAGGTTTGGGGGTGCTCCCCCCTCCTTGGTCGGTGCAGCCGGAGCCTGGGTGCTGCCCCCCTGTCCCTCCAGCACCCACCCATCCCCTCCTGAACCCTCCGTCTGCCTCCTCCACCCTCCTCCTCCTCCTCCTCCTCCTCAGCAGCCCCGTCTGGCAGCGGAGTTACGGGAAGGTCTGTGTCATGTGGCTCCTTTCATCTCCGCTCCCCAAACCCCACAGCGAGACAGGAGGGAAACTGAGGCAGCGCTGGGCCCTACGGCCTCGAGGCAGCGGGGATGGGGATGTGTGGGGAGCACGGTGATAGCGTGTGCCATGAGGGATACGTTCCCCCAAGCTCTCCTCCTTCCCGCTGCCACGTCCCGTCCTGTGGTGCTGGATCCCAGCATCCTGCCCCGGGATGTGCCCCGCGATGGGGTGATGATGGACACAACCCCATGGCCAGCCCTGGGAGCCTCCACTGAGCCCCCGGGCTGGGGACCCTCGCACCACGCCGCTCGAAGCATCACTGTGGGCAAGTCACTTCCCGGCCCCACGGTGCATCCCAATGGCTGCGGGGCCGAAGCTGGGCCATGGGGTTGAGTGGAGCCCCCGGCGTGGCTCTGCCAGGAGCAGGGCTCCGAGCCCCTCTAGTGCCCCCTGCCATGAACCCAAGGGCCTTCTCCATCCCCGTGCAGCTCGGGGGTGTTTTACCCTTTGCACTGGCCTCTGCTGAGGTCATGTTTGCAGCACGACTGCTCCGGGCCCTTTCAGAAGAGAGGCCCCGGCCGGAGGGCTCCGGGGACCTTGCACCACCCCTCCAGCCCGGCAGCAGCCTCCCTGCTCCCAGCCAGTGCCAGCACAGTGTGAGAGGCTCGGTTTGGTGTGGGATGGGGCCATGGGCAGCTTTGGTCCAGTAAGACTCAGAGCAGCCGGGTCCCATGGCCAGGGGGTGCGATGCCAGCATCAGGCTGCTCCTACACCGAGGTGGATCTTCTCCCATCTTCTCCTCACGCAGCCCTTTGCACCCCAAGGGAAAGGACGGGAATGGGGAGGGCTGGGTTTGCCCCAGGTGGCATTGGTGGAAACTGCAGGGCTTCAGTGGGTCCTGTACTGCCCTGGTACCTCCATAGAGCCCCAGGCAAGGCTCTGCTGTCCCGGGGGAAGGAGGGAGCCTCTGCAGGCTCCTGGCGTGCAGCTGGCCCTGGGCTGAGCAGTGCTGCTCCCTCCCGTGTCCCCATCCCTGCTGCTGGTCGGCGTGACCCCTTGGCTCGCTCGGGGCTGTCCATGTAAGGGCAGCGGGCTGCGGAGCCAGACCTCGGCGCTGGATGTCAATGGGTGGTGATGCGCTCGCTCACATGCTCCGGGATGCAAGAGGAGCCTGCGGAGGCCAGGCAGGGATTTTCCCTGGCTGCGAGCGGGGTTGCACAACCGGCGGCTGCTCTGGCAGGGAAGGGGTCGGACCTCGCTCTGGAGCCGCATCTGGAAGGGAGCAGCCGGGCTCTGCTGCGCCTGACGTGGGGCAGGAGGAGCCTGCGAGGGAGCGGGTCCGGCTCCTTCCGTAACCCGGCAATGAAGCCTCGCTGATGCCCGGGGGCTCGGAGCCCTGCTCCTGGCAGAGCCACGCCGGGGGGCTCCGCTCAACCCCATGGCCCAGCTTCGGCCCCGCAGCCGCTGGGAAGCGCCGTGGGGCCGGGAAGTGGCTTTGCCCACAGGGGCGCCTCAAGCGGAGGCCGAGGCTGGCTCTCAGGCAGAGCTGGGAGCACGATTCCCCCTCGCCCTGGGGTGCTGCTGCCGCCTTCCTGCTCCCCTCTGCGCCCACGGAGGGAGCTGAGCCCCAGCAGCGCCCGCGGAGCGAGGGGGGCTCGGAGCCAGGCTGGGAATCATGGAGAAACCGGCCCTGCCACCGGAGCATCCCGGGAATCAAAGCAGCCCAAGGGCCGGGCAGGGGGCGGCGGGAGGAGCCGGAGCGGGGACAAAGGAGCTCTTTGCAGCCGCAGTGAATGGCAGCCTCACATCTGACCTTTCCGTCTGGGTGCTGCATTGTGCTGGGGCAGGATCGGGCTGAGGTTCAAGAGCCAACCATATCCCCCACCCTCCCACAGCCAAAACCCGGCTGCTTCATTCTCCTCCCGAGCTGCCGGGCTCCTTTAAGGAGGGAATCTCGCCTCTGCCATCAGTTCAGGCTAATTAAACTCTGCTAAACCAATTAGAGCTGCAATTTGCAACAAGACATTCAATTGAGAAGCGTTCCTCACAGAGCCCAGGGTCAGGGCACAGGCACAAGAGCAGAGGCTTCGTGCGGAGCCGCTGGGCAGGGCTCTGGGTGTCTCTTTGGTCGCCGGCAGCTCTGAGCCTGGGGCTGGGTTTTCTCCGCACGGGTGAACCGGGGAGATGCTCCTGGATCCACACCTCGGTGGCCGCCTCAGCGCTGACAAACGCAGCTTCGCCCCGCGCCCCGGGGCGGCAGCATCACCGCTCCGTGCCTCAGTTTCCCCATCTGCTGCGGCGAGATAATGCTGCTCCGCTTGATCCTGCCCTATCTCGCAGGAAGGGTGCAGGGATTAGTTAGCTAATGCTTGCGAGGAGCTTTGAAGATGAAAAGCCGTGAACCAATGCCAAGAAACGCTGAGCTGGATTCTCCTCGCCGAGTAATCGTTTCATGTTCCTGGGACACTTCCACTTGGGCAGATGAAGGAGGGCAGGGCGGGGGAGCTTGCATGTGGGGAGGGCCAGGGGGTGGGAGGCTCCCACAGCTTCCCAAGACCTGCCCCTCCAAATCTGATCACCCGGCCTGTGTGACTCCTGAGCAAACCCGGATCCTCAGCACCCGCCTGCGCCCAGGCTGAGGAGCGGGACTTGTGAGACAGCTCCTAATGCAGATCATGGAATCACAGAGTGGTTTGGGTTGGAAGGGGGCTTAAAGCTCATCCAGCTCCAACCGCTGACACAGACAGGGACCCCTTCCACTGGAGCAGCTTGCTCCAAGCCCCTGTGTCCAACCTGGCCTTGAGCACTGCCAGGGATGGGGCAGCCACAGCTTCTCTGGGCACCCTGTGCCAGCGCCTCAGCACCCTCACAGGGAAGAGCTTCTGCCTAAGAGCTCAGCTCAGTCTCCCCTCGGGCAGGTTCAAGCCATTCCCCTTGGCCTGTCCCTACAGGCCCTTGTCCCAAGCCCCTCTCCAGGTTTCCTGCAGCCCCTTTAGGCACTGAAGCTGCTCTAAGGTCTCCCCTTCAGGAGTCTTCTCCAGGCTGATCCAGCCCAGTGGAAACGGGGAAGGCTGGGACGCAGCAAAGCAGCAGCCAGAGCCAGGAGGCAGCAGGGACATCCCATCCCATCCCATCCCATCCCATCCCATCCCATCCCATCCCGTCCTATCCCATCCCACAGGACTCTGCTGCCTGGCCCAGGAGAAGGAACCAGCGGTCACACAGCACACTTCCCCCGCAGTGGAAGCCCAGCTGTCTCTTGTCCATGGCCAGCAGCCGGTTTCCATCTCTCCTGGCTGCGCACACACAGATTTCCAGCCGCCTTCCCGAGCTCCTCATAGAACCAGCTTGTTGCCCACGTGGCTGGTGGAGCCTCACAGGGGGAGCCCCAACCACCGGCACAAGTCATGGTCACCAGCCGGGGTCCAGCCCCGAAAACCACCCCTATATGCACATGCAGGGGGAACAGCAGCAGTGCAGCTCCATCCTACAGGAAGCAATGAGGACAACACCGTGAGTAAACAGGTTCCTTCCCCCTGTGGAGATGCAAGAGGACGATGCTCCCAGCATCACCCATAGGGATGCTGCAGCAGGAATCACCCCCCTGGCGGCTCAGCCGTGCTTCCCGTGCCCATCCCTGCTGGGTCTCGGTGCTGTCGGGACACGGGCACGGTGTGTAAACACGGTTTGAGTCAGTTTCCCAGTGGAAACGCTTCCTGTGCTGCAGAGCAAGGACCAAAGGGAGCCTCGAGGGGAGCGCAATGAACCTGCATGGGGCTGAACCGCATGCAGGGAGTCGGTGGAACCTTCTGGGTCATTGAAGCCTCTGGCCCCTAAGGGAGGCTGCAGGGAAGCTCAGAAGATGCTCCATGGATCATAGGCTGGGTGCTGGTTATCCCCATGGAACAGGAGGGCCAGCCTGCAACTCCACCAGCACCTAAGGACATTCCTTCCACCTTCCACTGTGAGCTGATGTGACAGCAGCCACTGGCCCCACCAGCCTGGGGCAGGAGCCTGGTCCCCAGCTCTCAGCAGGCCAGCAATGGGCATTTCCCCCCATGGAGCCCCCCATGCACCCCGCAGCCCTCATCAGCCGAGGAGTTTGATTGCTTCCATAGCCCAGGCTTGCAGCTAGAAGAGAAAACACAAAACATGTTTTTTGCATTAAAATTTCCCTTGAAAAACAATGGTTTAAACCAAGCATCAGAAAAGCAAAGAATCCAGAAAGAAAAAGAAAAAAAAAAGGAAAATAATAAAAAGGGAAATTTTTGGTGAAGCCTGAAAGCAGCTCCCTTGAGACCCTGAACTTCCCCCAATGTGGGATCTATGAGATATGGACTCTATGAGATATGTGATATGGGCACTATATGATATGGGCGTTACACACCATGCTGCTTCCCTGCCTCCATGGCTTCCAGCCCCTGCCTGCTGGTGACATCCCAGAGGCACACAGGGAGCTGGTAGGGGCCCTCACACCAGCAGCATCCCTTCCCTTTGGCCTCCCATCCTGTCAGTACCGGGGCTGCTCGCAGGTTATCAGGAGGTGC